AGAGGGTCACAATGCTTTCTGGAGAGCATGCTCTCAGAGCCTATACTAATTACCGTCTTGTTGAGGTACGACGGACTGTATTGTTGAAAAAATAGCAGCGAAATGTTACTGTCGCGGTAACAAAACCGCGCCGATCGTAACCGACATTTGCAATTGTCGCGCGCGACGCCGCGTGGTCTTACCGTCATATACCCTCCCAAAACATACCGACTATTTTCTGATCCTGTTCCGTTCTTACACGAATTACTTGCATACGAGACGCCCGTCGATCACGATCCGAAAGAACTTCTTCAACAACTGGCCAGACAGAGAGCACAGAGCCAGAGAGTACGAAGTAGGTCCTTGTCCTTCGCCCTACTTCGCAATACACTCCCATCGCTTCACTTTTACATTTTCCATGCACGTACGTATGATGGCAGTTGTCTATGGCACCTAAACATAAGAAGAATAAAACCGACTCGAATAAAACCCTATCGGCACGGATTTTTACCTGCGTATTGGTCTTCCCACAGTTGCTTGGCATCTTCAGGAGACACCTTGACAAATCGTTTTGAAATTTCTGCCATTGTAATCAATTTCGGTGAGCGGCCAATCGAAGGGCGGGTAACAGCGTACAATCTATAAGGAAATCCATGAACGTGCAAACTTAAAGTAGTGAATAATAAAGATTACCGTGCGCCAGTGTCGAAGCGACGTTTACCGATACCATATACTAACACAGCAACTTGTCGACCCGTATTCGAGGTATTTGAAACGTAAAAACCGTCCTAAAGTGTGTAAATGTAGGAGTTTTTTTACAACAAGTCACGAAAATAGTCACTACCTAACTACTATAATCACAGGAACTCCCAAAATTTTTGCTTGAACATTGTTCGAGGGTTGCTCATGCCCTGATCAAGAATATGACGTCCATTTGGACACCGGCGCCATTACCTGTTTTACCAGATCGGTGTAAATGCGTTCTAGGGCTATTTGATGCTCTGATTGCAGCCGTTTTCAGCGCAGGCGCCGTAAAGCGACAGTTGGCGCCATTCACCAAAATCCCTATAAACATGAATTCCGATCTCGCTAGGCATCATGACTGCCAACAAAAAGCATGCATTCTCAGCTTTTCTCTCTGTATATCAAGCGCTAGAATAACATCGTCGGCACTTTGGCCTACGACTTTTCCCATGAAATTCGACACGAACTCGCAAGTATTGATATATGCTGCTCCTCATGATGGACATGACATCTGTTTCTCAGCGCCGGCCATTCTGCGCTCTGCTATTGGCTGACCTCGAGAGGAAGAGTCGTTCAGCAATATCAGAGGGAGACGAATGAAGTGCACCACGTTAGCGCTGGCGCCAAGAATAGATCTCATATTCGTAACTACTCATAAGATGCCAAATTACCCAATATGCAAATTCACACCAATTTTGGCGGAAAAATGGTGCTGCAAATTGGCGCCTATTGGCGGCAAATGGCGCAAACGCTAATAAGGGTTGTCACGTTTGCTATGAGACACCGAGAGACTCCTGACGCCAAAGTATATATAAAAACAGTTTGAAGTTTTTGGGGTGGTAGAAGTAGGTGGCGCAGTTTAACAGGAAAACAAGGAAAACGGTGAATCACTGATTGATCGCTCAAGTAATTCATATACTGCAAGTATATACAGAGTAAGCTGTATCATTTCATTGCTTGAAGACAGCCCCCGCACTCAAGTAGTACATGGTCTTGTGCAGTAGTACAGCCCCCAAGCTAGAGACTATCCCACTCTCGCGACTCCACAGCGAGCGAGGAGCGAGCTACAGCCGCTGAAAGTTCTAGTTCTAACGCCCGCTCAGTTGGACCGCCCACTTGCTAGATGCCCTCTGACGGAGAGCCGCTCAGTTGTTCTTTGTTGGGCGGCGGGCATTAATCGGAATTCCTGGACGTCGAGTTTTTGAGAGTTTCTTTCCCTTTTCAAGAGTTTTTCTTCTGTGTTTTTCGTATTCTTTTCTTTGCATTGGATGATATCCACTACTGGGAGATGTGATAAAGGGATTTGTGAGCCAGGGGTTGCACAGAGACCGCAGGAAGGTGTGACTGTCAGGGAGCGATTTTGTTTATGGTGTTCTTGAGGACTCTTCTTGCTTTTTTTTCTTCTTTGGGGAATTACTTATCAGCTACTGTTTCATAATTGAAAAGCAACTATCCATGACACTTTTATCGCGGGAGCTGTCATTAATAGAGTATGTACAGAGTAAGCTGCATCATTTCATTGCTTAATAGAAAAGAAAGAGCTTACAAATTCACATTAATTCGAGAAATGCTGAAATTACCTCATCAGTGTTGTGTTCCTTGTAAAGCGCAAACGCTTCTTCCCAAGATAAACCTCTTTCGACACCGATTTTCTGCATTTCCACGCGAAATCCTCCTTTTTCTGCTCTTCCGACAAAAACTCGTGTCTCTAGTTTCCGAACTTGATCTCCTCCAGTTCCCAAATCTGAAAACGCACTACATTATCTAATGTAGCAGTTTTCGAAAGCACGTCATGTGCTTTGTTTGGACTGCTTACCCATTATTCCCATATCATACGTGCCATCCAGCTTTGCCTGTGCAATTAGTTCTGCCACAATTTCGGTGAAATAATGGAACAAAGCATTCTGAGCGTGTACTGGTATACCGAGAATTCTGAACATAAAGATGGAACTTCAGCGAGCAGCAGCTGAACACACTAGGAACACACCGATTGAGGAACTTGGAGATGGTAGCCGCTTCCCTCTCAATTACATAACAATCAGTGTTAGGTTGCTTTGATAATAGTCCAACTCCTTCCATATACAGTCGCATGTCTGTATAAGCACACTGTTAAGAACTGTCATAAGAGAACATTACAAACAGGCACGTCCTGCCCATGGGGGATAATTTCCGAAAACTTGACCCCCCTGAACTTCGCCCTCTGCTTCGACTCCCCCTCTCCTCCTCCCGCTCCCCAT